ATGAGTCTGACAAATTGAGTTTTCACACAGAATACGTAGCTAAGTATATAATTATTACATTTGATAAAAAGACAGTTTTGAAAAATCGGTGACCTAAGTCGTTTTTGAAATGGCCGATTCAATTTATTACTTTCTAACTTTCCTAGCTTACACTGTGCTTGGTTTAGATTGTACTGCCTTGAAAATACTAACTACCGATTTGCATCGAAGCGTTTTTTTCGAAAGTGATTTTATCACTTTCAGATTTAAAAATTCCTATAAACCTGTGACCTCCCCGTCCCCACTATGCCCCGACCCCACTGTACTGGTTTTTTTTTTTTCGTTTCTCACATCTGGTAGAGTGCGTTTGTACTTAAAAATTGCGATTTATAGAGTTGCTATTCGAAGGAATTGGTCCAGTATTAAAGAAGTTACAGTGTATACAGATAAAAAAAAAACATACATCAGAGTAAAACCAATACCTTCTCGCTTTGCATCGAAGCTAAAACATTTTTCTGGATTTTTGTGAAAAAGGCATTAAAAGGGGTCAAATTATATGTTTTTGGGGTCGGTGATTACGAATTTGTTGTCAGTTCTCAATTTTAATCAGCCAGAAAGAACTTAAGTAAAAAAAAAAAAAAATTGAACTTTGTGTCAACTTAAAGTCAAAAGTGTTACTTGAGCACAAAACTCAATAGTATCATTCTGCATAGATCTACATAAAATTGTTTTAATGATTTGATAACAATTTTTTTAAGATTTTAAGTGTTTTTTGTTAAAATATACGCAATCTGCGAAAACACAGTTTTCCGGCTATTAAAAAAAAACTGTAGTGCCGAATTATTTTTTCCGTTTAATATGTTATGGATACATATGAGTTCCAACTACTGGCAAATTTTCAACCCAAAGGTCTTAAAATTACGGCTAAAAACCCCGAAAAACAAAAAAAACTGTACCCCCCCTAGGGGGGTGGGCATTGGGTTAAATTCAAATTTGATATAACTGACGTGCGCGGGCATACTAAATAAATATTTCTTATAAATTTCAACTCGATCCGACTCTTTTTCTCGAAGCTATAGCCAGTAAAAGTTCTAACTTAAAAACTCGTACGGTTTTTTTTTTTGTTTTTTCAACTTTCGCCTGTGAAGAGTTAAACTTTTTCAACTTTTACCCCCCCAAAGTACCAACTAGATGAAAATTGCGATTTATAGAGTTGCTATTCGAAGGAATTGGTCCAGTATTAAAGAAGTTACAGTGTATACAGATAAAAAAAAAACATACATCAGAGTAAAACCAATACCTTCTCGCTTTGCATCGAAGCTAAAAATAATGTAATTACACAAAATATGTGAAGACAATTAAAAAATTATTTTTATTAATTTTTGTTAACGATAGACTATTGAATAAAAAAATACATAATTTATATTATATTATGATATTAGGTGTTGGATGTTAATTTATGTTTAGTTTGTTGGGTGAAATTATAGACTTAATTATGTTAAGAAGTTTGTTTAATTTTAACAATATTGACTCATGTTTTAATACTATTGTCTAACACTTGAGTTTGACATTTCATTTAATCATGTAGTCTTTATGAATGGAATAACCATTCTTTAAAATATTTTAATATGTAGTTCTAAGTGTGAATGAAATATCAAATAGTAATTTTTACTGATAAATAATTCAGTTTTATGTATTTTTATTTTTTAGTTACTATATTTTTTCTAAATAACAATTAATTCTGAAAATAGTTTTAACTTAAAACATAATTTGCAATATTAAAAAATATTTAACTGATAAATGTATCTTTGCAAGCGGTCTCTAGCTATAAATTAGTCGACAAAAATAAATGGTGTGCTAATTTAAAGCTGTGAACTCCCTCTATCTTCTGTCACATAGATTGTAATCTATTCGAAACCGGACTCCTATTATTATATAATTATATTACTGTATATTATATAATGGTTATACAGGGTATATGATAAAGGAAGGAAGTCGGTCGGACGCATTGTATTATTGTGAATCAGAGCAGATGTGTAAAGTCCATCTGCTCTATTTCACAATAATAGTGTTCCTAATTATTATTTTTTTTAAATTTAATTTAACGCCCCCCCCCCCCCATAAAAAAAAAAGGATTCAAGTTTTGAAAAAATATTCCTTATAACCCTGAAAACAATAGTAAACCGTTTTCAAATACTCAATACCACAAAAGACCAACAAAAAACCATTACAGATGATTTAGATGATGACTTGATAACAGTTTTACCATCCAATAAATATGATCTTAACTACGTAAACTTTTGCGAGGCTATCAAAAAAATTATCAATATTGAAGAATTCACTTGTAAAAGTAACTCATCTGATCTACAACTTCAAATCAAAACTCCCGACTCATATGGAATAATTGTACGCGTCCTTTTACAAAAAAATGTCGATTTTCACACATATCATTCTACTGACCCCAAAACAATTAGAGAAGAATTAACTGAATTTGGTTTTAATGTTAAACAAGTTATTATTGCCCTGCAAAGATATACAAAAAAAAACCACTTCCTATGTTTTTTGTTGACCTTGAACCAGACACAAACAATAATGATATGTTCAAAGTCGATACTATTGGTCACTCAAAAATACAATTTGAAGAATTCAAATTTAATAATAATCCAATTCAATGCCTTCGATGCCAAAATTTCGGCCATACGTACTGTAATCACGAACCCCGTTGTGTCAAATGTAACAGATCACATACGACTAATGTTTGTCAAAAACTAAAGACCATACACCCACGTGCAAACTATGTGAAGGAGCTCATCCAGTGAATTACAGAGGTTGTCCCGTCACCCGTGTATAAAATCGAACAACAGCGAAAAACACCCGATCCTAAATTTCAAAAAAGCAACCACTATTTTAATTACAAGAATTCAAACAATGTACATGTCCCAATTGGTAACACCCAATTAGAAAACACTAACGAATACGAACCGAACACATACAAATCTTGTGCAAAATTAACTCAACAATCTTACTATAATAACCAAACTCAAACCTAAAATATAACTAATACTGACAACGATTAACTTAACAACTTTCTTCAATTCTATCTGATCTCAAATCTTTAATCAACCCCTTAATATCCTTGTTAACAACAGTAATAAATACAATTATTTAAAAAAATTAATAATGATTCCAATCCTAATAACAATAAAAATAAATAATATTTCTTATTTAAATTAATCAATATCATAAAAAAAAGGTGTTTAAAGTTTAAACTTTAAATCAATTTCACTATGGCGAGAACTGTGACGGTGGCAGCAACAACTTCTACCAAGTTGAGACCAAAATACTTGTAAAAAATGACTTTGACTATACTATATTGTAATTTAATTTAAATAATATACGGTGGAAATATTCTGTGGTGACGTCTCAAGGGAAAATAACGACAAGTCGTTTATATATATATATATATATATATATATATACATATATATATATTATATACAGGGTGATTCATCAAGGATAAGACACTAATTTTCTCGGAGTATGTTAATATTTTAAACAATATATTTTTCCAATATTTTTAGGTACACATTGTACTATATTTTGACAATTTTTATTACCAATCCTTATAAGCCGAATTGGGGGATTTTGGTTTTTTTAAATGGCAACATGTTTTCAATTACATACATTTGTAGAGAATAAAATAAAAAATATGTCAGCGTTTGAATTTTTTATAACTAATGAAAGTACCAATAAAATTATTTTATTAACCACACATGTCTGTAATGGAAAATAAATAATATAATATTTTTTTTTTATAGGGAAATAATTAATATATATTTTTTTTTAGCATATCGGGGAGTAAACCCTATTGTGGCCTAGTTCGGTCGCCGAGGGAGCGCATGGTATTTCTACCATGCATAGCGTGGGGGAGGGGGGCAGTCTTTACTTCTAGTCAGGTTGTCTTGCCAGTAAGCGAGACTGCCCGTGACCGGATTCGACAGTACGCGTAGGCGCCTTAATCTGTCCGGCCACACCATACCGACCGTAATTAATGTATTGATTATGTTCATTATAATAGATACAGTTTGTTAAAATCTGGAAAATGCTGTCACCTTACGACGAAGATAAGATGTGCACGTCGTAAATATATTACTCCTGATGAACCCAAAGATCTTCTTTTTTCATTACCAGATAACTGAAAAACAGCTACAATGGATGGTAAGTCAAATTAATTTTAAATTTATGACAACGGAAGTGTACATCTCAATGTCTTGTACATTCTTCTGTTAATATGTGGTTTATGAATGGTACATTAATGTGTTTCAGTATATTTGCTTAATTGTACGTTATACGAGATGAATTTAAAAGAAATGTTAGACCATCTGAATACGATTTTATTCCAAATAAATTGTAAAATACTTATCAAGAAATATTAACAAATTATATTATAAAGACTTTTTTGAAATTAAAACATCTCTTAAGCCCTACAAAAGCGTTTAATTCCATACGTCGTTCATAACACTGAAACACATTAGTGGGGAGGGGGTATAAGTTATATTAAATTTAAGTTTGGGTCTACTGTCGGGTTAATGAACGCCTAATAAATATCCCTAAAAAATTCTATATTTTTCAATTATTTTTCATACATTTGTGTTTTCTTCTTTTATTAAGGTAAAATATAAAAAAATATTAACTTTTAAACTTTCTTAAAACCTAACTAGATACCTGTAATAAAGATTATAAGTATCTAATTAGGTTGTAGCAACTTAAGAGCTGCTGATCAAGTAAATTAAACCAGTAGAAAAACAAAATCAACGTGTACAGAAAAAAAAACCTTATTAAACCATTTTAAAGTATATTTTAATATTATTATAGACTGCACAAGATATTATTATTATTGTATTGGTTATGTAGAAAAAAAAATTACAAAATAAAAATGGTACTATTTAGTACATACTAATACTAATGCATCCGGTAAAACAGAACAATATGAGTTAATGCAATTGTTAAAATTTGTTTACTTAATTAAATAACCTTGAAATAGTTTCCACCAAATCGTATTCCTCTACCATTCCTAAATTTGGTCTCAAGTTTAAGCCGTGGTCATAAAAGTTGTTATTAATATACTGCTCATCAGGACCTATGTGTTAGCAAAATTTAGTTAATATAGTTATTTTATTTCAATTCTTTAAATAAAATATCAGCGGGAATTACCTGTAGAACTTGGTGACGCAATAGTTTCCAAATGATGGTACTGTAATGTGTTTTGAGAATTTTGTAATTTAGATTCTTTTCGCAACTTGGCCCTTTTGTTTTGAAACCAAACCTAAATAACACAATACATGTTTAGTCAAACTTTCGACTTTCGTGGCTTAATTTAAAAAAGAGATATTTGGTCTTAAAGTTTAACCTCTTTCCAAAATTACAAGTTAGGTTAGGTTCAGGGATATTTTCCAGAAAAATGATGGTAGCGAGTTAAAATGTATAATGAATTGTTATTTGTTGTACCTCTATACGCTAAAAGTATCGAATTTAACTTATACCTTATCCCCTCCCAAGAGTTTTAGACGGTTTTTTACCTATAATTTTAGAACCAATTAGTTGAAAAATTGGGAAGCGATAAGAATTTTATGTGTCTATAACTTATCGAACTGAAAAAAAAGAGAGTACAGATTTTTTGTGATTGCCAAAAATCTGTTTTTTGTAGATTTTGTAAATTTTAACACGTTTTAACTTCGAAGAAATTGTCAAGTCATGTCAATAATTTTATGTACAAATAGGTGTCTAAATAGTTGAAATTATCTTATTAAGTTTTTGTACGTTTTTATTATTTCACAAATTAAAACAGGGGTGCTTAAGTATGTATAACGGTAACTTAATTTTTTCAGATTTGAATTTAAAAAATTAAATAAATAAAAATAATATCCATAAAGCAAAACAATAAAGTAAACGTCTCATATATGGGACACTGTGATTGATTTATTTTAATAATATATGATACACATTTTAGTCTAGATTACACAGGTATCAAAATACACGGGTACCCGTGTAAATAAGAGACCCGGGTATTTTAACTACCCGTGTACTGGGGTATTTTAACTACACGGACACCCGGTAGTTAAAATACCCGACTACTTGGTATTAAAACCACAGGTATTCGGGTATTAACTAAAATTTGTTCTAATAGTTGTACTTATGTATAGAAGTATATTTTTTTCATTTAAATAATAAGCCTCGAAATCAACGACCAACGTCTAAAATGTGTTTACGATATTACTATTTTAACAATTAGTTTTAAATATAATATTTATATTAAATTTTAAATATATACATAAATATCTAGTATTTTTCATTTTAAAACTCATTGTATATTTTGCTGTCGAGGTTTGTATTTCTGAGGAATGTAAATTAACTATTGATAACATATTAATCGGGTCCTAGCAGTATAGACATCGACATTCAAAATTAAAAACTGCCTTGTTTCCGCTTTACTAACTTTGGTAGTTAACAAAATTTGTTTTCAGTAAATATTAGTTTATACTTTATACAATGCAAGATTTATATTGTGTGATTTTTAAATATACTATTATACAAAAAATTCCCAACTTCATCAATCTTTACTACTTACATGACTATTATGAATAAATTATGGAAGTTTTGTTTGACATAAAAAGTACGGTATATCCGGGCAGTTAATTAATAAAAACATGTTATGAAGTACAATAATTTGCCAATAAGTCAATTAATCAAACGTATATTTCGCCAAAATATAATTTTTTAAATAATTATATGTATTGAACACGCGCAGTGTGAAAGTAAAAAGTATATTGGTATTTTATCGAACTGATATAGTCCAGTATTTAGAGACTATCGATTTCGTTTAAATATGAAGGGAGAAAAAGGAATGTTGACAACATAAATAATATATATGATTTAAGTGGCACTGGCACAAGTAATCAAGAGCACGATCGCGTGCCGCGGATGATTGGGTTTCAAAATTTTATTAAAATTTAGGTCAACACTTAATAGTTCCGGGTGTGTGTCCGCTCTGTATTGTCTTATGTTAAATTAGTAGCCGAATGTACCCGTTATAGTTTTAAATGCTTATTATTTATTCCAAATCCTAAACAAAACCATTATGTAGGGTGCTAACATCCTAAGAGTCCTATGTATCACGCATGATTTAATTATAATAGTAATTGACAGGATCAATAATTTAAAAATACCTACATATTTAATAAAACTAGATATTCTCAAATCTTAAAACGTAATATTTTTACAATAGTGTAGATTTTCCTAATTTTGTGTCTGGATTTTTTTTAATTTGTGTTCTTAATTTTACTATAAAATAATGTATTTATAGGCTATAAATCAAAATTGACCTAGGAAACATTGCAATGTATAATCATCGTGAGGCATCCTGCACAAAGTGCACTCATTAAGAATAAGACACCCATTATCTTCGAAAATAATTTTTTTTAGAAAATGTCTTTATTATATTGAATATTTAAATCTATAAAAAATATATGCACAACGGTAAATGGGTAAACAGTAAAAAAAAAAAAATTAATAATATAATTTAAATAACATGCAGTAGGGGTGCCCCACACAATGGAGCTACCTATTTTGAATTTTGAGTTAGTTTATCTAATATTTCATTTTTGTTTAATTGCAATTTTATCGTTTTTCTTTTGGAAAACATTGCAGTTTTTGTTATATTACAATATTATAAAATTACTAAATATTCACATGTTTTAGTTGGTATTTTTTTAATTAAATGGGACCTTACATATTAGTTTAACTTTTTAAACTAAGAATAATTTTCTGAATATTTTGACTCGTCGATAACCGGTTTTGGATAGTTACTTTTGATGTTACTAAAGTTAGAGCAATGCACGCAGATAAAAAGCATATTACACTCTATCCTTTCTCCCGTCCTAAACTTTTAACTTTAAAAACCTTAAAACTAACTATCCAAAACTGGTTATCGACGAGTCAAAATGTTCAGCAAACTTGTCTAAGTTTAAAAAGTTAAATTAATATATACCTTCGTTCCTATTTCAGTTTCAAAAGATAATAGAGCAAAAAAAAAATTTAAAACTATCAAAATTAGAATAATTTTCAGCTTTGTACAATAACATAAACTTATGTATCTCCAAATAGAAAAACTACGAAATTGCAATTTTTTTTAAGAGCTAATGACTGTCTTTTCTTTATTGAATCACCCTGTATATATGCATTCGATGCATTGGTGTACATATCTTTGTTTATGGCAAAACTTGTCAGTCAGTACAAAAATATGCAATATGCAAGTGCAACTAATAATTTTATAACATAGATTGTCATCTATTGACTATAATGGGTGTCATTTTGATCAGACCACTGATAGTAAGTTATTATTAATTAATATTTAATAATCGCGTTAATCGGTACTCGACCGGTCTAGTCGGCAACAGAATACGGCACGCTTCTAAAGCTTACGCCGAAAATGGATGTGAAAAATATTCCTAAACCACGATGGCTAATCTACGATTTCAGTTGACATTAAAATGCTTAATTTTAATTTGAGTATTATGTGTTTTTACCTGGTGCGTTGATTGAAACGACTTACACTTTTTGTACAATTAACTAGTTTTTTATTTTGCTAAAGAAATATTTTACTATATATAGGCATTATCTGGTTTTTCAATTTTTTTAGTTAATCGCTCTATATTTTAATTATATTCAATAAATAGAAACATGTAATAGCAAAAAATTAAAATATTGAAAGACATTTTGACTAGTTCAAAACAAAACTAAGTAATTGGCTACTTAATATTTAAGCAAACACTTGGAACAACTACAATGGTTTTAAAATTACAATTAATTTGATAATCAACCTTAAAGTTTTAGTTTATCAGTTAACTTTTTTTGCTTTATTGTATATTTTATTTATATATATATATATATACTAACATTATTATGTTGACATTTATAATAATACTTTATATGTCAATAAGTATTGTAATTGATTTTTTTTGTTTTTTAGTGCTCTGCCCTCCGGCTAGACTTCCTGTTTTTTGAATAAAAAAACAACCAAAAAAAAAGAAAACAAATTACATTGTTATGAAGCAGCAAGTTGCAATATAAATGGTATATATATTTTTGGTGAGTTTTTTATTATTAGTTGTTATTTTAGTTAATTTGTATACGTAGATATATATAATCATTTTTTTTATATAGTTCAATCATCATTTTAACAACTCTATGATAGAATGGCACGAGGTAATGTCACTTACTTCAAGTTTCGACTAAATACAGTTAACATTTTTTGATGATTTTAAAGTAATAGAATTGTTTTCTTATTTCTAAGAGCATATACTTTTTGTTTTTAAATCCAGTAATTTAGCCATAAATTAATAAGTGTTATGAATTATGATTCAATGTGATGTTAGGAATCAATTTCTACATATCAAAGCAACCTTATTTTTTTGATTTAACATGAAAATGTATTATTTTGGGCTTCAATATTGAGCTGTTTAAATATTACCTTTTATAATAGCAAACATAGGCTAATATTTTAGTGACCGAAATACCATATCTGTTAGTTTGTGTATTACTTATTTCAAAACATATAAGTAGAATTTCCATATTTTTGCTATCATACGATGTAATTGATACTATACGAGTATAACAATTGTATTAAAATATAGAACTTCAAAGTTTAATTTTAAATTGTGACTGCTATACTCACTTTATAAAGGTTAACTTTGAGAATTGTATATTTTATAAATATATTTACTTTGTAACTCAACCGATTTACCATTAACAAATATTATTTTATTTAATAATTTGATGATTTATATTTTGTAGGTCAACTATGAGAATGACAAACTACCAGCAAATTATGAAGAGGAATGTTTTCATTGGATCCAGATGAAGTGTTGGTTTTTTATGCCGTCTATCGTCCCAAGATTCATTTCATTAACAACAATTTTCTTAAAGGTACACTCATGTTTTGTATACGGTTATACTATAATTCATTAAAGAGATACACGCTTGATTGTTTAAATTATCCATTATTATATAATCTGCTTCATGCTATTTAAAATTTTTTAGTTTATCAACTTGTAGCTTCGATTTTGTTTAAAATAATGTAATATTTTATTACTATGATCAAACAAATATATATTTTAATAATAATTAAAAAACATGTATGATAATATTATGTATTATAACTTGATTAATTCTCATGAAAATTTAACTTTGTGATACTGTTCCTATACTATTATTTAAAAACACAATTTTTAAAATCTCCATATAAGGTTATAGTATTGTTAAAAATTGAAATCTAACAGGCAACAGCCGACAGCTAGTGGCTATAAACGTTAGGAATATTTAACTAAAAAGTAATATATGTAGAAAACAACAATAAATTAATATACAATAACATTTACATTTACAATTTAAGGATCTATGAAAAGGTTTTTTTTTAGTTACATTTTGTTTTGTACATTGTCAATCTAGTAAAACGAAGCCTGAGTAAAATTAATCCGCAGCAAAGCAGTTTTGATGGCAAAAAAATTGTATTTTATCCTATAGAAATGACTGTGATAGTCCGACAAAAAAAAATTGCAGTCAACAAAGTATCCTCAATACTGTATTAATAAGTAGGTATACATTATAATTTAAACTCTAAATTAAGATTTTTCGAAAAATTGCCTATACTTTACTCCTTAGAAATGGCCGGTGTGGCGTCCTCTAAGGGACAAAAGATAGAAAAATATATTAAGTTCTTACCTGTATTGTAGATTGATGTAAATTAACTTGTTTGGCCAGATTTTCTCTTTGAAGAATAGTAGGGTAACGTGTTGATTGGAACAATTTTTCCATTTCAAAAATTTGGTGTTGTGAAAATACCGTTCTTCTTCTTTTTTGATTGGCGTACAGCGACTGTTGACTGCACATGATGACGTTACAAAAAACAATAATTACAAATTTCGTCCTCAGCGGTTAATCCATCCGGAAAAGTTACGGCTACAACCCGCTGGAGGGCGTAATTAATCCTATTATAGTTGCGTCGAAATTTTCGACGGAAAATGAAACTCGCCAAGAAAATTCACGTTTTAAACACAAAAACAAATTATTTTTCCGAAACAAATAAAATAAATTCATTTTTATAGTTCCGGATACAAAAAACAATATAGAATGTGTTAAAAAACTATTACATCTCGAAAAACAAATTGTTTTAAAAAACAAATTTTATGTTCAGTTAGTAAGTAAAAAGAACAAGATATAATCAATTTCATTTAAGGTCTGCCGACTTTATATATTGACCGATAACTTGCTTCGATAGACTCTGGTCTAGAACCTATCAATTTGTCTCAGTTTACAACTATTTGCAAGTCCACATCCACAACTTACAACTTTAATGTCGGTTGATAATAATTAGAACCCAAAGAGACCATACAACAAAACTAAAACATCAAAAATTTAATAAATCAAACATTCATCTTCTTGTAATAAAAAAACAAAATCATATATTAAACATAGTTTTTCCAATAGTTTAGATATCTGGGTCTAATCAGTAGGCCACCTCATACTAGAAATTTGATTTTTTCTGCATATCGTCGGATTGCGCTATTGTGTTGGATTATGTCGAAAAACACATCGTTAGCGCTACCCTGATTCCAAATTTGTATAATTTTAGGTATTGCCATATAAATAAAAAATACACATTAAAAATGCTAAAAGTGGACATACTATGACAGGCACAAAAATTGGCAACTTGTCATCAATTATTATTGTAAATAATAATATGTTTAAAAAATTAGGTTCCAGCCTAATTGCTATTGGATACATTAAAAGAACCATGTAAGAATCAATATTGAATTGAAAAATAAACGTGAAGACAAACATTTTCTTACTACCAGTTTTTATTTGTGGTATAAAATACTTGGACATATAAATTCTAAGTTTATAAAAACATTGTTAAAATGGTTTGTGGTATTAACTTAAATAATGATAAATATTTAGAAGAGACAATTTGTGAAGGTTGTATAATGAGGAAACAGTGCGGTTTACTTTTTTCTGGTAAGAAACCCAAATCCCAAACACCACACTAGATTATCCACACAGATAATCAGGGTGATCCACTTATCGTGAACTATTCAATATCTCATAGGGTTTAATAAGAAATTAAAATTTTTTTTTCATACAAATTTCTGCATTATTTTTAAAGGAATGTTCGTTCATTTTATCTCCAGTCACTACCTATTTATTTTAAATATCATTAAACTCAAGTATATTTCCAGTTAAATGTAAATTTTATTATGTAACTCTAACTTTAAAAAAAAAACAGTACAGTGGGGTCGGGGCATAGTGGGGACGGAGCATAGTTTGGTCAGGGCATAGTGGTGACGGGGAGGTCACAGGTTTACAGGAATATTTAAATCTGAAAGTGATAAAATCACTTTCGAAAAAACGCTTCGATGCAAATCGGTAGTTAGTATTTTCAAGCCAGTACAGTCCAAACCAAGCACAGTATAAACCAGTAAAGTTAGAAAGTTTTAAATTGAGGTTCTGTATTTACAAATAAGCATCAAAGCGTTAGTTTGAAAGTGATTTTATCCGAGAGGACTAGTACAGTAGAGTATAGGCATAATGGAATCAAAGCAATGAGGAAACGGAGAGGTCACAGGTCTACAGGAATTATTATAAATAAAAGTGATAAAATTGAATAAAATCGCTTTCAAATAAACGCTTTAATGCTCATTTGTAAATACAGAAACTTCATTTAAAACTTTCTAACTTTGCTGGTTTATACTGTGCTTGGTTTGGACTGTACTGGCTTGAAAATACTAACTACCGATTTGCATCGAAGCGTTTTTTTCGAAAGTGATTTTATCACTATCAGATTTAAAAATTCCTGTAAACCTGTGACCTCCCCGTCACCACCATGCCCCGACCAAACTATGCTCCGTCCCCACTATGCCCCGACCCCACTGTACTGGTTTTTTTTTTTTTTTTGCAAAAACGTAGTGGACCAAATAACACAAATACAATGTCTTGTTATATTTTGTTGGAATGGTCGACGATTCATGTTTCAATCGTTTGTACGCCATAGTTTAAATTATAATCGCTTATTCTCAATAAAACTCATATTTATGTATTATATACTTCCATTAGAGCAATCTCACACAAACTATTTATACTTCCTAGATTATATTATTTCAAAGCTATATTATACTTCTATTTTACTAGATTGACAATGTACAAAATAAAATGCAACTAAAAAAACCTTTTCATAGATCCTTAAAATGTAAAGGGTGGGATAGTGAAACGGGTTTTCCCATTTAAATACATTAGACCATCGCCGTTTTACTGCCCCACCCAGTATATTAATTTCTTGTTATTTTCTAAAGAAAAATCGATTTTCTTACATTTAAATTAAAATAAATCGTATACTGGTAATGTGATGGAGAAAACAATAAATTTTACCTACATATATTACAAGTTAAATATTACTAATGTGTATAGCCACTAGCGGTCGGCTGTTGCCTGTTATATGCAAAACATTAGTGTTCATTTAAAAAAATAGTGTAATATGAAATACAGTTTGGGGCGGTATACTGCATAAACACCAACACTTAATCTGAATCCAAAAAACAACAGTCCTCTTCATAATTTGCAGGTAGTTGGACCTCATATACTCATAGTTGACCTTCGGTACGGTAATATAACGCGGGTGTTAAAATATCGAGATAACGAGAGTGGTTTTGTCGTATCAGAATCATTAAGTGTCTTAATAAGTACAAGGATAGGTTTTTTTCCCAGTAAATCGAGTGTCTACCATAATCAGTTACACGATTTAGTCGTCTGTGATATCATGTAATAAACACAATATTATGATACCGACCATTGGGTCCTAACCTAATCTAACACGGATAGACGTTACCAACTGATAGTTTTTAGTGTCTGTTCGATTCTCCCATCTGGTACACCGGGTTTTTAGTTAAAAAAAAAAAAAAAAAAAATTGAATTCGTGTAAAGTCAAAAGTGGTACTCGAGCACAAAACTTAATAGTATCATTCTGCATAGATATACATAAAAATGTTTAAATGATTTGATCAATTTTTTTTAAAGATTTTAGGTGTTTTTGTTAAAATATATGAAATCTGCGAAAACACAGTTTCCCGGCAATTAAAAAAAAACTGTAGTGCCGAATTTTTTTCTCGTTTAATATGTTATGGATACATATGAGTTCCAACTACTGGCAAATTTTCAACCCACAAGATTTAAAATTACGGCTAAAAACCCCGAAAAACAAAAAAACTTGTACCCCCGCTAGGGGGGTGGGAAATGAGTATAGTTTAAATTTGACACGACTGAAGTGTGCGGACATACCTAATAATTATTTCTTATAAATTTCAACTTGGTCCGACTCTTTTTCTCGAAATTATAGCCAGTAAAAGTTCTAACTTAAAAACTCGTACGTTTTTTTTTTGTTTTTTCAAATTTTGTCTGTGAAGAATTAAACTTTTTCAAATTTTACCCCCCCCCCCCTAGTACAAACTAGATAAAATTTGTGATTTATAGAGTTGCTATTCGAAGGAATTGGTCTTGTATTAAAAAAGTTACAGTGTATACAGCGAAAAAAAAGCCCACCACAGAGTAAAACCAATACCTTCTCGCTTTGCATCGAAGCTAAAAGGTGATAAATCCCTTGTTACTAATTATCGTCTTATATCTAAAATCTCTAAACTCCCCAAATTATTCTCTAAATTAGTCAATATTAAAATATCGTCCCTTTGCGAAAGTATTCTCTCTAATGAACAGCACGGATTTCGAAAAGGTCGATCAATAGTTACTTTATGTATTTTTAAGCAGTCTATTATAGACTCATTCAATGATAAAGCACAGTTTGATGTTATATACACAGACTTTTGATAGAGTCAACCATTCTCTTTTAATCTCTAAACTAAAAGCTTATGGTTTTAGTGATCCTCTTTTGTCCTGGTTTAACTCCAAATCGAATTTAAATTGTGGAATATGAAAACCGTTAATCTGATTTTATTAATGTATCCTTTGGCGTTTCACAAGGTGACCATTTGTCACCATTGCTGTTTTCTATTTTTATTAATGATCTAACTAAAACCATAAAATATTCTAACTGTTTATTATTGGCAGATGATACTAAAATATATAAAAAAATGAAATGTTTAGATGGTGCTAAAAAATTCCAAGAAGATCTTAATAACTTGTATAAGTGGTGTGCTGATAATGATATGATATTGAACATTGATAAATGTGCCACTATTTCATTTTCTTTAAAGTAAAATACATTACTTTTTAACTACTGCCTTAATAATTTAAACCTATCTCGAAAAAATATAATTAATGACTTAGTTGTTATTTTGACTCTAAACTTTCTTTTAAATATTATGTTGATAATTTAAAAAATAAATCTTATACGAAATTAGGCTTGATTAAACGCATATGTACAGATTTTAATAACGAATCAGGCTTAAAAGTTTAATATTATTGTCTAGTTCGATTCAAACTTGAATATACTTCTTTGATTTTTCATTCGGCTAATATTTCACCCTGTACCTTAAAAAATTATGTTTAACAGAATTTAAACATTGATATTGTAAAATATTAATGTTTAAATTCTGTTAAACATAATTTTTTAAGATACAGAGTGATTCTTTTATCATGAACCACTCAATATCTCATAGGGTATAATAAGAGATTAACATTTTTTTTTTCATTTTTTTGTAATACAATGTGATCTCAATTTTTCACTTTTTTTTACCCCCTCCCCTCCCCCCCACTTGATAATTTTGATAGCTACTTTTGAAACTTAAATGGTAACGTATGTATATTATAAACTTTTTAAATCGAGAATAATGTACTAAAAATGTTGACCAGTCGAAAACCAGTTTTGGATAACTATTTTTGAAGTT